TTGTTACTAGAAGCGATGCACTTGTTACTACTAGCTTCTTGTTACTAGTATCTGACCATATCTGACCTAAGAACCAGAAAGAAGAGCACCAGAAAAACGAAGACAGGGTATATACGTACAACGAAAAAGCAGCACGGAAAGTGCACAAATATGCACAACTAGTCACCCTCGGCCCGTCCCACTGCCGATCTCGGCAAAGTCCTTGTGATGCACACAACCTTCACAGAACCTCAGAAACATGACAGCGGCCAGTGAAATGACCACAGGCCCAAGGGCACAAGCCGGCCGCGCACAAATCAGCGATGCAAGAAGGAAAGGCCAAGGCGACAACAACGCACGGTGAAGAAACCGCGAAACTCTGACGCCCATCCTCCTGGGGATCATCTGCGTTAGCATGTGCAGAAAAAAACAGGGGTCAATCGATATACCAGATTTAGACTGTGGCCAACTGGAAGGTAGGCCTGCAACAAGTGCACCGCACTGGAGAATCTGTGCAAACGCACTGGCTCAATCCGAAATAATTCATGGCCAACGCGGCCACAGTCAAAGGAACCTGAGACCAGCTGCGTAGCTAAACCAGCAGTGTAATTCAATACCCATGCAGTTGTTGTTGGGACTTTTATACTTATTTCCTGCGAGGTCAGGAACAGAGAGAGGCCACCAGGAACGGGTGAAATCACCGGCCGCATGCAGCGCGAAGGGCGCCGCCCATAGCCGACTGCGCTGGCGCAATAAGAACGGTGGTTTCGGCCGTCGGATTCGGCCGTGGACGGCAACAAGTAGCGTCCTGGCTCCTAGTAGCGACGCCCTTTGTTCCTAGTAGCTTCTTGCTCCTAGTAGTAAGGCCGGGAGCCCCTAGTAGCGTCCTTGCTACTAGACCACGTGTTACGCGGCTCCCAGTCAGATTCGTCGACTGCCTGTCAAGCTCAAAGTGGAAGACAAACAAAAGCTTATATCTGCCTTGAACTTCAACCTTTCAACTGATGACGTGGGCGGCGTTCAATCAGAATCACAATTTATTGGATCTTGGAGTCCATCGCTAGTAGGTTCCTTTTGCTATCATGTTGTTTTTATTTTCTCGAGCTATTTTTTCACAGAGCCCGAACGGCGCCTCCGCCTCGACCTTTTGCGTTATTAATCCTCGATAGGTCCGGGCGCAGGATGCGTTCCAATGGTAGGGCTCGTGACATCTTGTGGCATTGGCTTCCGCGCATCCAGACATGCATTTAACAAGCATATGGTCTCTCCTCACAACACCCTCCACAAAAGGAATCCAGTCTTTTGTGAGTTTTTGCATGCTTCGCCGCAACCCAAAGAGCTTTCTGTATCATACAAACAAAAGCAGCATACTGCAACTGCAAATGCCAGCAACATGTTGCCTCGAAACCGGGTCGGTTGCGGTAGAAAGCCTTACCAACGTGGACAAAGCAAAGTAGCGACCACGAAAGGTAAGCTACTAAGAAATACAAATATGTTGAGATACCAAACGCGAGGCGCTCAATCCGAAGCTACCTCACGCGTGCCCCTCGATCCTCTCTGGAAAACGGACAACATGGCCATGAAGAAGCCTGGCATTGGTGTAAGACCAAGTGACACAAGTTGCAAGCACATCCTCCAGGCTCCAGGCATGTATCTTTATGCCTAGCATTGCGTTGTGCCTGTAGCCTTTCGCGATCATCAAACTCGGAATACTTCGAGATACCAAAGACATCTTCTGCACGAGACTTCCACCCAAATTGCAGAAAGCAGCCACAAGTCACAAGTCCAAACTTCCCGAGTCACTGTGCCTGCCAGGAAATCTGAACACTCCAAGCACCACCACCAAGTCCAAAGGCCTACCACAAAATCTGCACATCCAAGTAAGATCTCCTGCGCTTGCAACGAAACAAGTCGACTTGAGACCACCAAGACACGAAGATTCTCTTGCGCCAGCCATGAAAAAGTGACTATCAAGTTTGATAAATGCCCGCAGCGCCACTATGAGAGTGGAATTGCAAACACACACTCAAACACACATGATCGCCTAGCCAAATTACTACACCTGCCACGTGAAACGTCCATGCAACGACCATGAGGACAACTGCTTGCGAGACGGTCGAAAAGAGAAATGACCCAGCGAGCAACGCGAATCCTGGCCACGAACCCTGCCTTACCCTCACTGTAAGAACCCCTTGGTCCTTGGGAGAAACGTGTATTGAATGTCAAACGTGCTTTAATTAGTATATACCATTTAGTACCCCTATAGATCGAGGAAATGTCAATCATCCACCGCCTTCGATGCCTATAACGTTCTTCCCTTGTTTTCTTGTAGGAGAAAAACACCTGAATGCCGAAATCGAGCCAAATTCACTACTCCTTTGGAGACCTATATCCTTTCCATCCTCCTTTCCCGGTGCTGAAAAAGTAGCGCTTTTGAGGTCGACTGAACAGAGCAAAGCAACGACGCACCCACCCTGGCCCCTCGTGCCACGTCACGCCAGGGCCACATTGCTCTGAGGGGCATTCCCTCCGCAAGCGGGTGACCTGCGGTTGTTCGAGAAGTTCGTGACGTTCGGCGTGAGTGAGCGGTCGGGTTCCCCCGGCTCGGAGGAACATGTGTTGTTGTGGAGCAGGCCGTTAACTCCCAAACAACACTCAAGTCGCTAACACATGAATCAAGTGCCTCTGTTTGCAATTCAATTGTTTATCGGAGCTCATCTTCCAACGAGATCTAGCGAAAGCTACTCACTCAAACGAACTTCCAAGATCGAAGATGCATGAAAAGAAGCTGTGCGAGACACAGCGAACTCAGTGTGCTCCGTCCTTGTCATTGGAATCCACCTTGTAGAACTTCAACACAGCCAGCTTCACCTTCGCGTTAGGAACAAGTGCATCGCTACTAGTACAGTCGCCCTTTTTTCGCCCACTCCCCCTTCCTACATAGTAACAAACAGTACGAGGATGGCTCAGAGCCACTCGAGAGCAAGGAACCGATGGATGTTGGATTCCGTTCCAGTCTGTTTAGACGATGGGTGCGTCATACGGAAGGCAACAGGGCACGACCATCCGCTTGACACATTTGGGCGTTTGCAAGATGCTGCCACGAGTGGCTACCACATCCTGTCAGGCAGCGGAGTTACGTCAGTCCCAAGCGGAAACCTGGCCCCTCGAGTTTTTTCAGGGCCGTCCCGCAAAAGTCACGGGTATTCACTGCGGTGTTCACCCAACGACTTGTCTGAAACACAAAGATATCAGGTGGATATTCGTAAGGCCCCGTTTTAAAAGGGCCCTATTGTATATCAAAGGGGCCCTTACATGTTAGTTCAGCGTGTCTGTCCTCCGCTAGCCAAGTGATTGAATGGGTAACTCCAGTGCCAGGTTTCGTGTCGCAAGCGCTTACTGTATAGTGAAGTAGACATTCCAATTCGCACGGCAGAATGCCACAGTCACCAGTCACCACAGTCACGGTATTGAACCCGAACTCGGCCAGTCGAGCCTTCTTCCTCTTGTGCTTGATCTTCTTCGGCTTGGTGTAGGTCTTTTTCTTTCGCCTAGCCGAGCTCTCAGAAAATATGGCCCTTCGAAAGGAACATATAGTCTCAGACTCCAGATTGGTGGCGATGGAGAACTTCGAGTTTCTCCCCACCTTTTGTTTCATTGTGTTTGAGTCTATATATACTTATATATATAATTGCATTCAACATTCTGAAACATCTCAATGAAGTGGCGTTTGTGTGCTCTTGGAAGAGGAACAAACAAACCCTCAATCCACACCAGGAACAGAGTCTTCGCTCGGCAAGGCGCATCAAATAAAAGCGTGGAACGGACAATACATGCTTCATGTCATGGATCGTAAGAATAGAACGCTCCTGGTTTGTGTCGGTTGCTTAGAGAATTCCTGGCCCTGCTTAGAGAAGTTCCTTAAAAACATGTTAGGTTTGATGTGCTCTCAAACAGTACAATGCCTTCATCTCTCACGTTGCGAATTCTGCCGGTGCCGGTGTGCCCGCCGTATGACACACATCATCATAAGCCCCAAAGACAGGAGGAACAACTGACACACACACACACAAGACGTGGAAGGCGAAGGTGCGTTCCAAGAGTTTCCACCTGAAGAGATTGTAGA